ATTATTATTTTTGAGGTTACCAAGTGTCCAAATTAAATTTTAAACATTCAACTTCAAGATTGTGAAGAGTAATCGGGGCTTATTTTAATTTAGACCGTTGTTTTTTAATTGTTAAGTATGCGCGATCACTCGATTTTTCAGCCGCCGCGGCGCCGCGCGCTACCGTGCGCCTCTATCGTACTTATGCATAGTTTACATATACTTACAAATAATTATTATTTATTGAGTACATAGTTATTTATATCAATTGAGTTATAATATAAATTTCGTCTAAAGTCTAACAATAGTTACATAAAATAATTGTACAAAAAAGTGTTAAATAACACACTAATATCACTCAGTAAAAGTATCTTTGTTTTCACAAAAATCTAAATCACATCCACATAATGGTACACAGTTGACATGATTTTTCTTGCAGTTGCAAGCATTAGTTTTGCAAGTCTTTTTGCATTTGCACGGTTTCCCAGCCCACCACTATCAGACATATAATATCCATATTGTGTAAAATCGAGAGTTTGATAGCGGGAATATATGGCATTTCGCCAAATATATGTTTTAGCGAAAGCTCTTAATAAGTGTTAATAAAGTGCGTCAGAGGTACAAGGTATATTGGCTAGATTAAATTAAATTTTTCAGTCACACTGTCTTTTCGTCGAAGAGCAGCATTCTGTATTGTTATGTAAAAATCTACTTTAGGTTTTTGCACTAACTTAATATTGTTGATGTTATTACAAAAAATACAAACTAAATTTTCTTCGGTAAGTTTTCATTTAAGAAGAGGTACGGAAAAAGACATTTTAAATCCATTCACAATTTTTTTAATAACACATTAATAATATAATACCCTTTTAATGGGCATTAAACAATAGTCTTTTTAATGATCGTTTAAGTAATAACAAATCAAGTATGAGCGCGCGATTGTTAAACAGGTAAAAACTTGCATTTTTGCGATAGTAAGTATATTGTTTTTAAACACCGCGCAATTTAAAATTAAGTTTACTAATATTAATATTTACTGCATTGTATTATTTAAATAATAATTTAAAAATATTATTTACAATTGGTATAAATAAATATATACTCAATAAATAATAATTATATTGTTCAAATTTGGAAGAAAAAAAAACTATATACGGTTATTACATTGCGATGAATGATTTATTTAATTAGCCCAATGACAATAATTAATACCTACATAAATAAATTATGGAAAAAACTATGTTAATAAACTTCAAGGATTTGTTCGGGTTTTTTTGCGTAAGTGTATATGTAAACTATGCATAAGTACGATAGAAGCGCATTCTAGCGCGCCGCGCCGCGGCGGCTGAAAAATCGAGTGTACGCGCATATTTAACAATTAAAAAACAACGGTCTAAATTAAAATAAGCCCCGATTACTCTTCACAATCTTGAAGTTGAATGTTTAAACTTTAATTTAGACACTTGGTAAACTCAAAAATAATAATTTACATATGTGTTTTCAAGCCTCAAAAATGCGTATTTTCGCGTTTTTCAGACTTTAAATCGCTTATAACTCGAAAACTATCAACTTTATAGAAAAACGACAAGAGACCTTTTTTGTTTAAAATGACCCAAAAAATCTAAAAAAACGTTTTTCAGATTAAAAAAAATATTTTTGGAATTTGTTTAAAAAAAATGTTTAAACAATTTCTGCCCAAAAATTTCGCCCGGCATCCTTCAGATTTGTTTAAAGGGGACATTTTTGAACCGGAATCCGCAAAGAAACCGAATCAGAAACATTTTCCCAACGGGAGCGGCCTCACAGCCTGGATTATAAGGAGAGTTAGCTTAAATTGACCTATTTTAACCTCAGAAATCTGAGGTTAAGCTATGGCCCGTTCGTTACCAAAAACCCCGTATATATTAAAATATTTATTAATATTGTTTAGATAGTACTAAAATTGTCTCTGAAATATACTGATTCCAGGGACAATATATTATGTATATGATCATTCAGTCTCTTTTTTTTAGCATTTTACCTTTTTCATCCATAGATGCATATTCATTTTTGTTATTTATGACATATATGATTTTCGCACTTCTGTACTGTTCGTAAACTTTTTGATTAAATTACATCGGTACTCCTTATACTTACCCTAACACTTCTAGTATCGTGTAAGGATATTACTGTTAATACCAGTATTCCCACTATGTACAAGATGAGCAATAAAATCACACTCCAAAATCTGATTTTCTTGAAAAGCATTTGGCCATGTCGTAATTTGTTTAGCTGTCTTGGAAGATTCTTGGTATTTGAGCATTAAAGAACGACCTACTTCCTAGTCTTTTCTCCTTGGAAGAAATTGTTACAGCAGGTGAAGCCATTTTTCAATCCTAAAATTAATAAAAAAAAATATTACAAGACTCTTTTTGAATGCTCAAGCCAACCTGCAAGGAAAAATATTTGGAAAACAAGGTCCAGGAAGATAAATATTGCCATGATGATCGTTAACATTCGTAACGGATAGGCACATCAAGAAGAAGAAGAAATTTAAATTAGAAGAAGATGTAACCCTGAACTCAAATGATATATCAAACTCAAGAGAAGTCTCAATCTACTTTTAAAACGTTATAAACTTCGGTAAAAGTTATAAACTTATAGTCGATGTGATGTAAATTACATTTACTAACCACGAATTGATGAATAGAATATACTTTTTAAGATAGTAGATAAAATATACAAGGTATTAAACTCGCGACAGAGTTTAAGTTTATCAAATATTTTTTTAAACATGTTTACTATGTATTTATAGGTGAGTGGTAGATAATTGCTTGTGTTATGCTGTAAATTATTGGTTTCGATAGATTTTAACCTTCGGCTGATAATGTTATGTCTCTCACACCGACTGATTCAAATTTTCGCGGTTTAAGCGCTGCTAATTTTTATTTCAATTTGCACCTCACAGTACCTTTTGCACCTGCCTCGTGCCTGTATCTATTCAGTTGCAGTTTAGCAAGTGGACAGCATGTATCGTTTAATAAGAATTTTGAATATTATACACGTTTAACAAACCGACGTTATAGTTGCCCTTACATTTTGATGTAAGACCAATTTGTTCGATTTTTGTTTGCTGTACTGATTTTTATTATATTTTAGGGCATACGTTTATAATGAAATACGAGAGGGAACAAAAATGGCTGTTGCGGCTTCATGGGGAAGTTTAAAATGATTCAGAGGCAGAACCAGATGATGATGATGTGAATTTGATAGATGACCATATTATAGAAACTATTGAGGATATAGACTCAGAAGAAGAGTTTAAAAATCAACAAAACTTACCTATTCTTGAAGAAATCCCTTGCACCTCAAGAATATCCTGCCTTATCGGTAAAGATGGAACTACCAGGAAGCGAAAATATCCTGCATCAGCACGGAATGTTCAAATATTTTCAGACATTTACCTGGACCTAAGGGAGATATAGGGCATAAAAATAAAGCTTCAGAAATATGGGAATGCTTCTTTTCTCCAAACATATTGGAAAAAATTCATGGACTATGTACGTAGTGCAGCACTACAAAAAGTCGAAGAACAAGATATTCTTGTGCAAACTGTAAAAAATATTTGTGTCTGGAACATCTGACGGGATTATGTAGGCATTGTTTTGAAAATTATGGTGCCCAAAATTTGGAATAGTTTCAGTAATCTGTGTAAATTTTCTGAGTAAATTTTTTTTTTGCCTGTTTATACATGTAGGTAACTAATTTACGTTTTAGTGGAACCAGAATTCATTTTTTTTTTGTTATAATTATTTTGATTATTAAAAGCCTGTTCATAAAAATGACACTTTTTTTAATACCCGCTTAAAATTATTAAAATAACAAAAAAATATAAATTGCATATATTTGTATAGAGAATAATATACACAACTATATTATTACAAATATTTATCACCTACAGCTATATTTCTATTTTTTTTTTTTTAACTTTAGGAAAAATCGGTTTGTTAGACCGACGTTATCAAAAATTTTAAAAATTTTCGCGTTATCTGCGGAGGGTAAACCAAGTAAATTTGGGATTTTTAGTATTAAGATTAATTATTACTCTTAATTCCGTATTAAAATTAAGTAATATAGACTAATTATTAAATTTCACCTTCCTCCTTTATCATATAACTAAAAATCTTGCTTTGCAACCAATTAGTTAATATAGGTATCATCTCCAATTTAAAAAATAGATAAAGCATAAATTTTAAAAACAGAAATAGATTTATTGAAACTCCGCTTTTGTCAAATAGATACCTACATATAAATAAGTACTGCTTAATATTATACCTAAATAACGTTACGAATGATAAACATGCTAATTAAATAAAAATTATATAGGTACACAAACGTTTTGCCAGTTTCTTACCTTGTAATCAACAAAAAAAAGAGGCCAAATGGTAGTAAAACATTTTTACTATTGTCTATACATATTTCACATCGTTTTGAATCTACATACTTCTCTTAGACTTAATGAACTTAAATAATGATCGCGATTCTGTGCTGTACTGACGTCCCTTTTCCCGCTGATATCGGCGAAATGCATCGAGATCACTGCATAATGTACAAACCGCCTATTTTAAGGGCGTCGTCTGTGCCACTTCCAGGCGTCGAGACGGTATGTCGACGGCATCCGATCAAAATCCAAAAGTTTTGAAATAAAATGGATAAAATATGAGGATGTAGAAAACCTTACGCTGGCCATCTATCGCAATACGATAGTACTTCAAAAACAGATAACTTTTACTATGCTTTTACTACAATATTAAATTAGATTAATATTCTAGTATTATTAGAGTTTTTAAGTCTTTAACCCAAGGATTATATGAATTTTTGAGAAATAAATTACGACCATTATGTTATGTTGTTTTTATTTAATTTATATTCAAAAATGTATGTATAATCATTCTAAAAACGACACCTATTCGTGAATTATAAAAATATTTGTTGATTGACAAGTAAATCCAATAATTTTGACATTTCTAGATTAAAATTTCCATTTGGAAAAGTTCTAAAAACAGCACATGTTTTCTAGAAGTAAACTATATAAATTATGGGGTAAATATGCACTTTTGTTTAAAATATTTGTCAGAAATAAATGATTGTTTCTTGAAAATCAAACAGTTTTGTACATTAAGTTTATCAGATTATGATTTTCAAATGTTTCATAATATGGTTTTTCTCTTTTTAGCATAGAGGATTCTGAAGTGAACAAATTATACATTCGTCTACCAGTTAAAAGACGAGAAGTAGACGAATTTATCATTCGAGACTTGCATCCAAATATAGTTGAAGTCCATCTTCCTAGACAAGTAAGTGAATTTTATAACAACAAACTTATATTTTTATTTTTCTACTTCGTGGAAAAGGAAAATGAGACAAGACTTTTTGGAGCGATGCTTCTATAGTGGCGTTGTATTACTTTTTTCAAGTTATTTGTAGCATTAATTTTAAAAACAGTAATTTCTTATTAATAAGTATAATAATTGTAGATAACTTTGATGTTCTTTCAACATGGCCAATTTTTCCAGATACATTCACATTCCAGTACTTTATCTGGAATGTGAGTTTAGATTTGTTGTGTAATATCAATAAATATAAAAGCTTTTTAGTCTATATTAGTTGTTTATACAGTACTATTTACTTTTTCGATCCTTTAACAAAGTACCTAGTATATTTACCTTAAATTTAAAGGTGGTCAGAAATTCGAACTGTAGCATATGCAAACACAAAAGTATGCTAAATTGTCTGTATCTTTTCAAATATAGGTGTAGGGCTTCAACAAATAATTCATAACAAGACTGTAAACTCGCTAGTGCTATTTTTCATCGCATTAAATCTTTGTTGGTGTGCTATTTTCAATGATACTTTAAATATAGTATTTGTGTTCCTCATTAAACGTAAAATACACTATTCTTGGAACATGGCTCATTCATTTTAACACTAACAAATCACAATATCATATTCTAAATGTTTCTAGTGTATAGATTTTATAGGTCTATTACCTATTTAGAGCAAGTATTACTATAACAAAAATGTTTGGATTGTTTTTTTATTTGACTAATTTTCATAAAACTGGACCCAATAAAAACACAGAACTACATCCTCTCATTATATAATGTTAGCAACAAAACTTATCAGAAAATAAGCTAGTTTTCTGTACTTTCCTCCAGTAAATGATTGATTGTCAATTTGGTGTTTATAAAATGAATTTTTATCAGCTAAGATTTGAAATCGTGAAATATTGATATTGTTTATTTTTAGAAATCTGGAAATTGGTGTATAGTTGACTTTGAGAATACAGAAAAATTGAACGAAGCGTTACCCATTTTAAAAAAGAAAAAGATAGAGAATAAGTTCATCAAAATTAAACTATACAAGCAAGGTAACAAACAGAAGAAAGAGAAGAAGCCAACAGAGTACTCCACAAGTTCTTTGGAGAGTTTGTTGAAGTAAGGAAAGTATGCCTCCCCAATTTTTAGGTAATCCTTTTGACCAAGGTGACTGGGGACCTGATGACTTTGATGTAGATGATGATTGGATTTCATTTAATAATGAAGCGGTAAGTTAATAATTTTAGACAATGTTTTATCTGAAAGCTATTTGATCTATAAATAAATCATGTTTCTTCTATTTGGGATTTGAGTGTTATTTTCAATGAGAAGCTTACTTTCTGTGGCCACATAAACTCTTCAATAAAGGCATCTAAACTTCTTAGTTTCGTTACTAGGAATTGCAAGTATTTCTCCATTGATTCAACAAGATTAGTGTGTCTTGCAGCAAACGAGTTATGCTTTGTAAATAATTTATTTTTAAAACAACTGGCTTCAAAATTACAATTTAGATAGCAAATTATAAAGTTATTCGCTGGATCTTATTACAATTTATTAAAAATAAAACGTTAATTGTATTTTGATTGTTATGGAGATATTGCATTGTGAAGAAAGTCATTTATAAAACGATACCTAGGAGATATGGCGGCAACATAATAAAAAAATCAACTAATTCTTACAAAAAATATTTTTTTTATTATTATTACAAGTGTGTACAAAAATTTTTTAATTACTATTAACCAAGTCCTTATAAAAGTTGTGATGAACAGGTATTATTAATTTTTTTTGCACAGTTCCAAAAGGTGTTGCTTGATTTTTGCGGATATCAATGGTGGCTTTTTGTAGCTACGCCTTTTTTAAATCGATTACTGCTTCCAGAGTTGCTGAGCGCCCTCTTGTAGATGGTTTAAAATGGACCTCTTCGAACTCATCAGCATTTTAATCTGTTTTATAGAAAAAAAGATCCAGGATTGCTTTTGACAACTTGGATATCATTCCAGACTACCTTTTCATCTTTTGTATTCCTTGTAAAATTTCCTCCAATTTTTGAATTGAGATCTTTAAAGTCATAAAAGTCTTCTGTTGACATTTCCTTTAAATTGTAAGGATGTCCCTCTTTTTTTGCAGACCTTATGATGACAGGCCATTGTGCAGGAACATAAATGGGACCTGTCCCCTTCATTTTGGGTATGTTCCACTGTTAAAAATTTCAAATGTGTATGCAAAACTGAGGTAACTGACTGTAACATGACACACTCATTCATCATCTGTTGGATGTTGGCACACCAAATGTCTTGTTACACTTGCGCAAGAAAAAATATTCCCAAAACAATTTAGTAATACTTGTGGGTGTTCATTAGATTTCATTTTATGTGCCTTAGTTAAGTTTCTATCCTGCCAAAGTTAGTAGCTATTTTTTTGATGGTATATCTAGCAAAGGAATTATTTAAATTTTTATAGCTCATGCAATTTAGCAAGTATTTCTTTATATAAATGGTCACTTTCTTCAGTTTTCTTATAGTAATATTCTTCATTAGTTTTTCTATTATAAAAATATAGAGTAATAATGTGCTATATTAACTGAATTATATGTTTTTATCATTCAATCAAAATTTGTTTAAAGTTATTGTATATTATCTATAGATTTCAAATGTAAATTCATCATAAATGTCATACTTTTATTTATGTTTCATTACATTGAATTGTAGGGTAGGGAATTTGGATTCATTATACCTGATGTAATGAACATTAATGAAGACGATGACAATGAATACTCTGTAGGATCAAGTGACGAGTTCGAGGAAGAAGTATACCTTGAGGTTGAAGAAGAAACAGACTCTAATCTAGCACTAGATGAACATGAAGAGTCGCACAGTCCTTCCGTCATCTACAGCATGTCTGAGGATGATTATGACTATATTGTAGAAGTAGATAATCCTAATGAGTCACACAGTGTTTCTATCTACACCATGTCTGAGGATGAATATGACTATAGTGTAGATCTAGATGATTCTGATGAGTCACCCAGTCCTTCTATCGACACCATCTCTGAGGATGAAGATTATGATTATAATTTAGTACTAGATGAACTTGAAGAATCGAATAGTCCTTCCCGAAGCTTCGCGGAAGCCGCCTTAAGGCACCTTAAGGTCGCTATTGTAGATAAGGTTAACCCATATGGCAAGATCACTGCCGACCAGTCAAACCTTATCAAACGCAGCCTGGTGGAGGAATTGGACAAAGCAATCTCCACCTCCGGCGGTCATGTAAAAGTGCCCACATTTAAATCGTGGACTTACTCTGGTGAGATCATCAGGGTAGTCTGTGATGACGATGGGTCGCTTTCATGTCTGGAAAACGTTATTGCTAGACTCAAACCATGGGAGGATGCGTCACTGGCAGTTGTCAGTCAGGATAAGCTCCCGAAGCTTACCAAAGCCTCTTTATGGATCCCGGAGGATGGTACTACCACCTCTGATGACCCAGAAAGAGTGCTGCTGAGGCTAACGGCGCAAAACCCCGACGTGGCAGTTGCCAGATGGTGCACCTTCCATCGTGAGGTAAAAAAGGATCCTAATGGACACCTGTTCGTCTTCGGAATCGGAGACGAGGACATGGATGTCCTTAGGAAAAGAGAAATGAGGCTGAGCTATGCGTTCACCTCATTGACTCTAAAAGTAAGGTCCAACGAAGTGAAGGGTTCCTCTTCGGAACCCGGGACCTCAGGCACTCAGCAGCCAAAGACGGCCACTAAGACTGATGCATCCCTGGTCCCACTCGAGGGAGACGATCAGATGGTGGTCGACGAACGCGGCAGAGGAGGCACCGAAATGACTAACTCTGTCCCTTCCTCATATGAGGATTGAGGACAAAAATAGAGAGTTGCTCTTAGTGTCGGTCTACCAAACCTCAGGTGCAGCCACCCTATCACCAACAGAAGAGATAGAAGATATGGTAGACCATTGTCTCAGTAACAAGGTAGAACTCATTATCGGCTGCGATTCAAACTCTCATCATCTAGACTGGGACAGCAGAGATATGAACACTCGAGGTAAGTCTCTTTATGACTATATTAGAAAAGATTTGTATATCTTAAATAAGGACATGGAACTTACCTTTATTAATTTCCGTAGCCAAACAGTCATATATATCACGCTGGCAACAGTTGAAATATTGAATACAATTCAGAACTGGCGGGTATCAGGGACATCTCTGTCTGACCATCACCTGTTAGTCTGGAAGAAAACATTATCAAATTTCGCGACCCTAGGAAGAAGAATGTAGAACTCTACAACAGATTCTTCGAAGTATCTTCTGAAATATTATAAACTAGGCTTATATTAAACCTGGCCGATAAATATGGCCCAACTCAGTCAAAAGTCGCAAAACCAACTCTTGGTGGTACACTGAATTGAAACACCTTAGGAAGACAGCAAGAACAGCTTTCAATAGAGCAAAACGCACCAAACTCAAAAGATGATTGCAATGCTTATCAATCAAACATCAGAGAGTTTAAGAAAGTCTGCAGACAAAAACAAAGAGCTGCTTGAAGAGCCTTCTGTGAGGAAGTCGAAGATTGCCCGTGAGTTTCTAGGCTACAAAAACCGCTCTTAAAATATCCAAATCGGAATATAAAAGACGGAAGATGGAAGCATAACTGCCAACCTTTGTGAAAGTGCTGAGATCCTGATGAAAACATACTTTCCCGGTTCTAGCGCCTCAACAGCACTGAACTGGACGGAAAAAATAATCATATTCTCACCAGGACCATGATTAGTAGGGAAAAAGGTAAGATGGGCCGTATTACATTCATTATTTTTAAGTCACCCGAGCGTGACGGCATATATCCAGCCCCAATACGGTGACCACTGGATTTCTTTCTATCGCATCTTGTGGGTTTGTTCAGAGCCTCCTTGGCTGTAAGATATATTCCTAGAAAGTGGAGAGAGGTTCATACCAAAACCAGACAAACTACACCCTACCAAAGGCTTTCCGACCAATTAGCCTAACACCGTTTCTTTCAAAAATGATGAAAAGGTTATGCGAGAGGTACATAAAGGATGCAGTTCTGGTTTATAAACCACTTCACCCAAATCATCATGCATATACTTTGGAAAGATCTACCGATTCTGACCTGCATCAAATAGTGGGAAGGTATGTTCATAGACATTGAGGGAGCGTTTGATAAAACCACATATCCAACCGTCACCAATCAGCACAATCTCAGGAATGTCTCCTATCCGTGAGCCCATGAAAATGTAGTATACTCTCCAATAGAGCAATGAGCAAAATATATAAGACGTTTCTATAAGAAGCATGGTTACGAGGGGTGTCCACAGGGAGGGGTACCATCACCACGCATCTGGAACATAGTTCTAGACATCGTGGTTGGCCAACTCTAGCCTATGCAGACGATATTTTTGTACCAAAAAGTGGTAAGTTTGAACACACCATGTGAGAGATTATAAGTTGTCCTCAGACCAATAGAAACAGGGTGTAAGGAACACTCACTATCTATAAATCCGAAGAAGACAGAGATGGTCCTCATCGCTATAAAAAGAAAAATCACGGGCTTAATACCCCCAAGGATTCTAAACTGCAGTCATAATTTTTGTGAAGAGGTGAAATACCTTGGTATTACCCTTGACTGGAAGTTAACATGGAACTCCCACTTCGATGATAGAGCTAAAATAGCCAATATTGCCTATAAGCTGTGTCGACGAACGGACGGACGCACCTTGGGGCCTTTGGCTCAGGGTAATCACCTGGATCTGCACTACTATAGATATTGCTTTGGTACCAAAAGTGCTACAGGCAATAGCCATCAACAAACTAAACCATATTCAGGGGATGGCTTGCCTAAATATAACATATGTCATGAAAAAGAGGTGGCGCTGTTGGGGCGCTTAGCGGGTGCAAACTTTGATATGTAGGAATGGGACAATTGAGATGGACATGAAATAGAGACTCTCTTCGGGAAAGGAAACATCGTAAGATACATAAAAGCCAATAGATTAAGATGGGCAGGCCACGTGGTACGGAGTGATGACAACAGACTGATTAGCAATGTGTTTTGGGAAAGACCAGATGGTAAAAGATCGACAGGAAGGCCTAGAAAAAGGTGGAAAGACGCAGTCAGGGAAGACCTGGAGAAGATGGAAGTAATGCCATGGGAAATAATAGCACAGGATCGGAATCAATGGAAGGCAATAGTAAACGCGGCAAAAACTCACGAAGAGTTGTAAAAGCCAATGATGATGATGACAATTGAGATGTTGTTTCTGACGGGGAGAGCTTGATTTGCTCGCAGATTGCGATTCAATTAAACCTAAGTTTGTTTTCGACAAACCGTACAAAATCGAAACAAAATGCGTATTGCATATCACCGATGGCTCTAAAATGGAAGAAGAGATATACTCCTGATCAATGAACCTAAAAATAAAGTGGGGTATGGGCAAAACTGTCATCGTAGTTCAGACAGAACTGGTTGATATCTCTATAGCTGGAAAAGAGATAACCCGGAAAGGTATAGCCAGCAAAAACATAATCTACGACCAGCAGACAAGCGCTACTAACCTATATAGACAACGTGTCACATCAGGGTTACCGATGGAGTGTCATGAGTCACTAATTCAAGCTTCAGATGGTAACATCATCCTTGAAGGCGGCAGGCCTTAGGCTCTTAGGACCGGGTGATCTTTTTGTTTGGTCAACTACAACAATCGCGGAAATTGCCAAATGTCACTTTCATACGCAAACTGTAAAAAGATGGGAAGAAGGGCAAGGATGTAGACTTGCTAGAGTAACACTAAGGAATCTTGAAAAGTTAACATCAAAGAAGTACTTGGGAATAACCAGGAAAAACCTACACTTGACAGTTGGTTTTTTAACTGGTCACTGTTAATTGAGCAAACACCTCCACACACTGGAACTAGTATACATAACTCTATGCAGGAAGTGTGAACGAGAAGATGAAATTGTTGACCATATCCATCATTCAATCAAAATGTGTTTATTGTGTGTTATATATCGATGTAAAATTTAAATTCTTCATTAATATCATTTTATTTATGATTCATTACATTGAATTGCAGGGTAGGGAATTTGGATTTATTATAACCGATGTAAGGCACGTGAATGACGACGATGACGACGGATACTATTTAGGTTCAAATGACGAGTTCGATTTCGGTGAAGAAGAATACCTTGAAGTTGAAGAAGAAACAGACTCTAATCCACCAGTAGATGACCATGAAGAGTCACAAAGTCCTTCCATCATCTACAGCATGTCTGAAGATGAATATGACTATAATGTAGAACTAGACGATCCTGATGAGTCACGCAGTCCTTCTATGTACACCATGTCTGATGATGATTATTATGATTATGATGTAGTACTAGGTGAGCCTGTAGCATCACGCAGTCCTTCTGTTTTTACCATGTCTGAGGATGACGATTGTGATGTTCCGTCTGACTGTTTTAGTTATGGTTGTAAGTATATATTTGATCAAAATAATATATTCTATTTATTTTTAAATTAGTATTAAGTAATAAGCTGCCAATTAAATATCAATGAAAACAAATCCTTAAGGTCTGGTTTTAAGATAATTCGCCAACGCCAATGGTATGGTGGCAGTCTCAAGAGACGTTGACCACATTGAAGGGCCAGTCTATCCAATCGAAAACAAAATATATAAAAATGTCATTTTCTAAATAAATTCTAATACATACGTAAATACTTTATCAGGTAGATGCTTCTTTACAATATCCATTAAGTCAAACTTTATCACAGTCATTATAGTATCAGTACTTGTTCCTTTTTCGTATATCTTGGCCTTTTTTTAAATATATTAATGAAAAAAATAAATAATTGATGGATTCGACCGTATGTAGAATCTGTTTTTCTATTATTGAAAGCCCTTTTATGTTCTGCTATTCGTTTATTAAAGTTTCTACCAGTTTGACCGATGTAAGTTTTTGGGTAGTCGCCACATTTAAGTTTGTACACACCACTATGTAAGTGTTTTTTATTTTGGCTCTTGTTGTTTTTGATATATTTGTGAATCCACAAATTGGGAGGAGTTACATTTGTGTTGTATGCCTCTTCTGACTATCTTAGAACAATAGAACTACCTATAAAAAACCAAGAAACATAAATCATTACGATCATACGAAACATAAATAATATTTGCATATAAGTATTTACACAATATTTAATTGAATTTACAGGCATTAATAAAAACCGGATAAAATTGGCGTGAAAATAAAAAAAATCTTTAAAATGCCATATTTTGACCCCATAGGAGCTTGAAACTTTTATCAAATTGGAAATTGAAGGTCTTATTATCTAGTTTTATAATTTCCTTACTGAAAAATACTTTATTTCCATTGAGATCAAGAAAATATTGAATTTTTAAGCATGGTCTAATGTGAAATGGGCGATTTTGGTGATTTTACGAATAAAAATGTTTTTTTCAAAATTCCACACATGTGCTATTTAAATTTTTAGCATGAAATATCTTCTTTTACTTTAATTAACATATCCCAACTGTAATATGTTGGGTATTTTAGCTTTTGATAAAATACCCAACTTGCTTTAGAACTCACCGTGTATGGTATTCACAACCCATTGGATGGTATTCACAACTTTAACTCAGTTAAAATATCTCTTGCTTTGTGATATATATATATATATATAATATATATATATATATATATATATATATATATTGGGATTGTTGAATTTTGTTCTTGGTATATTTTGTTTGTTTCTTTAGTATGTAAGATTTTTAGTCTCTTTTATAAACTTTTTAATATCGATTTTATATTATAAGTAATTTCAAGTTGTGAATCTTAACTGTGATATTGTTTATTGTAATTTAAACTGTTAATGGGGTTATATCGTGAATTAAATAAATAAATAATATTACTGTTTCAAATACCAGCCAAACAAATTTATTAATTTTATGTTTTTTAACAGCAGAAGAAATCCTTCATACAGAAGAAATCCCTCATACAAAAGAAGATAGTAGTCCCAAAGTAGCAGAGTCAAATTCCAGCATCGAGCCAACCGACTGTTAAGGTTTCAGGCATATTATGTTTCTCTCAATTTTTTATGTGGTCTTTTAGTCCAATTACTGAGGCTTAAAATATGGTAATACCTCCGAATTTTTTATAACTGCATCGATTTCTTTCAAAAAATTCAAATTAAGCTTATCTCACCCTCCACTTCAAAAGTTATATACGCTCTAGGTACGCTTTTTGTTTTTAAGGGGTGAAAACTACCCCTTATTGAAGAAACTGGGAAAAACAAGGATTTAATTATTTTATGCACTTAGATCTTGTTTATTCGCATAAGGTAAATATTGTAACGTGTTCTCTAATATCAAAATTAATTATTCACAATTTTCAACCCTTAAAACCCTTTAAAAACCCTTAAAAGCTAATACATTTTATAAAAATAATATGAAAAAAATCGTAGCAGCTTGAGACATTTCAATTATGTATTTAAATACAAATAAAAATTAATACCCTAGCTATACAATATTATTTTATTTATTGGAAATTTTTAACCCTTACAACCACCCTTATGACAAAAATGAATTAAAAAATATTTTTATCGATTTGAAACATTTCTTGAGTGCATTTTATTTAACGAAAATTAATTTTTTGCATATAAAATAACTTTTTATTATAATTTGAACATTTCAACCCTCCCAACCAACCCCTTTTTTAAACAATTAATTAAATATATTTTTATTGGTCTGAAACATTTCTTGAGTGCGTTTTATTACACAAAAATTAATTTCTTACCTATAAAATGAGCCTACTTTTTTCAACCCTTACAAGCACCCCTTTTGATGAAAATAAAATCCTTAACTTAGACATGGACATAAATAGAAAAAATTTAGTTTATAATATATTACAATTTTTTACTTTCCAAAAAACTAAAAATAATAATATTTATATAAAACTTGTTTTATATATATATATATATATATATATATATATATATATATATATATATATATATATATATATATATAGAGAGAGAGAGAGAGAGAGAGAGATACATAGTTGCATATGTATCGAAATGCTCCTCCAATGCTACAAATTATAAAATTTTTCTATGCTCCAAAATTTATTCTAAAAAGTACTATTGGTTTTTTTACAATAACTCGGTTAATTTTGATGGTATAACATGCACAAAAAAACCGGAAGGGTCATATTCATATCATACTTTTTTTCAAAAACTGGGTATTTTAAAGTAGCTAATCTTTTGGATCATACAAAAAACACTAAAAGAAAGTGAATTCTATAAGGAAAACAATTTATTTCAATCCTAGTGAACATGACGTTAGTTTTATTGTGTTTTTTTTTTTTGAGAAACATTTTCTCAAAAATTTGAGAAACCCATCGTATTTTTGATGGTATCTCACGTACAGTTGGTGCAAAGGGCTTTTACCACCACTCATTTTAAAGGCCTTTTCAAGCTCTATTATAAATATATGAGTTTTTGTCGAAAAATGTACCCGTTTTCCGTTATTTACCGTTAAATACTCATATTAAAAGACAAAAACAAACCTTCTTTGAACAGCCATAACTGAGTTAATATTGAACTGAAAATATTCATTAAAAAGTCAATCTTTTTGTTTTTTTATGAGCTTTAATTTTAGTCATTACACTTTTTTAATAAAACTCTTAATTTCAGAGCTATTCTTAAAAAACCTTTAAAAAACATGTTTTTTTTTTTAACGAAAAATGACTTTTTCAACAGCGAATAACTCAAAAAGTATTGATCTAGCGAAAAAAATGTTTACTACATTTTTTGTTTGAAATTTGACCTATCGAATGCGTGGTTATTTTGAGTGAAAAAGTTTCCACCCTCGAAATGGGGTGGCAAACGCCCCCAGGGTGGAAACGCACATCGGCACTATATAACTTTTGTTCCTTTAGTAATTATTTACCAACACACAAAATTTCAAATGAATCGATTCACTTATAAAGAATTCGGTGGTAAAAAACCCTCAGTAACTGGACTATTTAAATTACCATGTAAATAATTTTGTTTTAAATGTTGAACGTTTACTTTTTTTGTATTATATCGCAGATAATCTTATAACGTTATAGTTGTTATCTTTATTTTGTACCGAATTATATTAATAAAAACTATTTTCTTAATCAAATTTTGCGTTTATTATTAATTTTGTGAGATACAAGCTTTCTATTATCATTATTAGATATTGACAAACAAAACTCACAAGTATGGACGAAAGATTTACAAAGCCACAACTGATGATGAATATGTTTGGAAATATAAAGTTTATTCTGGCCAAGATCCTCAAATGTCCAATCTTGATAAACCTGGAAGCGTAATTGTCGAGCTTTCTGAAGAACTTTTAGACCAGGGGAAAATGATTGTTGCAGATAATTGGTATACCAGTGTTCCATTATCTGAATACTTGCTTTAACGCAAAAATTATCTTTGTGGGTCATTGAGAAAAAATCGTAAAAACTTTCGTTTATTTGTCAAAAATAAGAAACTGCAGCGAGGAGAGTAAATTGTTGCACAAAAAAATAATGTGGCGATCCTAAAATGGAAGGACAAGAGGGACGTCCTTATGATATCTACTTGTCACGCAGATGAACAAACGATGAGTACAGGTCGAAATCCGCGTCTAAAGCCTAATATGATATTGGAATACAATAATCGAAAAAAGGTATCGATCTTTCTGACGAACTGGCTAGCTACTATTCACCAATTCGCAAGACCTGGTACCAAAAAGTTGCTGTCGATGTTCTGTTTGGAGAGGGTCTCATAAATACAGTTTGTTTGTTCAATAAATTGATCCAGCAAAATAAATGTACATGTAAATAAATGAGTTGTGAAAAATCTTTTGGGTATAAACGTTGTCCAGACACCTGCAATACCTATGCCGTCCCCGTCACAAGCACAGCATTTTCTTAAACCGCTGGATAGAAAAGATGGAAAAATTACTCGACGTAGGTGTGCCGGCTGCTATAATGAATTTCGTCCAAAAAGGAGAAACATCAGCAGCTGTCACTAATAAAGCCAAAAGGTGTTTAGTTTCGATATTGCATTGTATCGCAATTACGATAAAATTGTTTGGCATAAAGGACTTTTTTATAAAATTAAACAAATATTACCACCATTCTTTCGAATACTTACATCATACTTGAAAAACCGACAGTTTATAACAAAAGTAAATGGAGAAATATCTAAAATGCATCCCATTATGGCGGGAATTCCACAGGGCAGCGTCCTGGGACCTTTATTATATATATTATATACGTCTGATCTACCAACTTCACATAACGTAAAAATTGGCACAGTTGCAGATGACACAGTAGCACTTACAAGTCACCAACACATTAACATAGCTACACAACAACTCCAAGACTATTTGTATGAGCTTGAAAATTGGCTAAGACAATGGAAAATAAAAATCAATGAAAACAAGTCAACCCACGTAACTTTCACTTAACGACGAGAAACACCACCAATATATATATATATATATAATATATATATATATATATATATATATATATATCAACAATGAGGAAATACTCAGGACTAAAACAACCAAATACCTAGGGGTACACCTGGACCAAACCCTGTGTTGGAAAGAACACATTACCAAAAAAAGAAAACAAATACAACTAAGACAAAAAGAAATCAATTGGTTAATTGGAAAAAAACTCAAGCTGTCAATAAATAATAAAATTCTAATTTATAAAACAATTATCAAACCAATATGGCATAGAGCTGTGGGGCTGTAGTAGCAAATCTAATATTGCTGTTATGGAAAGATGCCAATCAAAAATCTTAAGAGCAATTGTTGATGCACCCTGGTACGTAACCAACCAAATAATCTATGAGGATCTCAACAGTGAAAGAAGTATACCAGCAAATGAAATTGCAATACATTCAAAAAGTGAACACACACTCCAATCCATGATACATTGTTTTTTTTTTATTGTTAAATTTATTAGTTATATATAGGTTATATAAATATATATTTTATACCAGTTTCTTAAACTAAAAAAGTGCTCGTGGTAGGTTTTTTAATATTAAGAATATATTTGCTAGTATTAGAAACCAACATGAAGTTGGTAATTCAGAAAGGATCTGCATAATTTGCTAAACTCTTCTATGAAAAAAATCGTTGTTAGTTTGATAATAGTATATCAGTTATCTGTTTAGATTAATGTCTTACTAGTATAATTAAAAAATAAATTAAATCTTTAAATGCATTTTGGTAATTTTTAATTGCGTATGACAATAAATTTTTATCAAAAATTGGAATTTAATTTTTTTTATTACAAACTTATTATCAATAATGGCTCTTGATAATAGTCTTTTGAAAAATTGCATGCATATTCAATTGACCTAGTTTTGTTTGTTTAGTAGGTGAATCGCATAATTAATTTTACGTATTCTATACTTGAGAAACGAAATAAGATATACTGTTCATTCAAATAAATCCTGAAGTGATATAGGAATACTTGTCATATTTTTATAAATTCTACAATCATTATTAATTAGATTAAATTAATTGTGAACATTTTATTAGTTTATCCTGAATGATGTTGAGAATTATCAAAAACAATAACGGAAGTTCCATGAATACTTAGTAGAGGCACAGAATAATTGTTTTTATACAGTTTTATTTATGATATCATAGTATTCGGCTGCTTTATTTTTAGCAAGAAAATAATAATTTGGTCTTTTTTGCCAAATCTCCTTTATTTATTCAATTACATAAATCACCAATATAATAAAATAAAAGATAATAAGGTATATAATCAATTGCAAAGTTTAAATAAATTGCAACCTTACGAACTAATAAGTTGCTGTACGGGATACCCAAATCATCATCATCATTGGCCCACAGCCAATGTAAGCCCTATAATATATATATATATATACATATATATATATATATAATATATATATATATATATATATATATATATATATAAAGCCCTATAAAAGAGCCTCGACCTACCCAAGTCTGTTACGCCAGTCAGTTCTATCCATTGCCCACTGTTGCCAGTTTGTTGCGCCTATTTTTCTACCATCCTCATCTACACCATCCATCCATCTGAGTTTTGGCCTACCCCTACTTCTACTTCTCACAG